CAGCGAGGTTATCCCTTACCTATGTATTACACATCTAGGGAGTAGCAAAGAGTCTGATCCCAAGTCAGGCTGGTTTCAAAGCCTACCCACTTTTCTACAAATCACTCACCTGATTGTAATATTCAAATGCCTCTGAACTTGCTTCCTAAATTCCCGTTGTCATAATTTTCCAAATCCTCGTATTACCCTGGGATTTGTGTGTGTCTGCGTGTTTGTGAGTGCATGGGTAAGAACACTATGAATAAATGATCCTTCAAGTGCGTGTTTGCATACTTAATGCCCCTTGTACAACTTGATGAAACAGGATTTAAACTTGGCCGAGTATAATTTATATACTCTACATGATGTAGTGCTAACACCTTATACTATAGACAATTAATTGATGGTGAATGAATTAATAAACAAATAAATAAACATGGCTCTTAGGAAGACTCCAGAAAGCAAGAAGGGGGTGAGGAGCTTCTTCCATCTTCCAATTTCCTGAAGCCTCTGAGGTGAGATTGTCTTCAAATAGAGAACTATAAAGCAGGGGGCCTAATTCCACAGGACCTGCTCAGCCTGCCCTATAGACATCATCCAGTCCCAAGGAGAATAGACTCTGACCTGTTTACAGAGAGGCCTTGCGTCTGACAGCCCAAAGCACAGTTACTGCAAGCTTTTAAGAAAAAGGCTCAGCCAAGCTAACACCCGACTCTACCAGCCCTCCTGAGGCCCGACTTCCAATTCACTGATATATCTAACCAGGATAATTTGATTTGCAGTGTTTGTCACTCTGTGCTCCCAGCAGAGCAGATCTGAGCTCCAAGCCTACTTTGAAGATATTGGATGCCTGGGTCGGAATTGTGCTGCACAAAGACGAAGAACACAGCCGCTCTGTGCCCACTGAGAGGCCAGAGGTATCCTCCATTACAGAGCAACTTGATTTCTGGAAATCTGAACTTCGGTGCCAGCAGCATAATCACCAATGCGCCATGTGAAAAGCAAACCGTTTACCCACTTCAGTGTTGTTTTTCTGGCAACGAGGCTTCACTGCACTTACCACAGGCAGTTAGTTATGTGAAGAAAGGGGAACATGAGGAGAGAGCCATTCTGGAAAAAATTCTAGTTCAAATTTACCTGAGTTCAGTTGATTAAATCTCCTCCTCCTTCCAGTTCTCATCCTGAAGGCCTTCAGGGTATAATTTTAGTTGAAAAAAGTTCTGTGTCGGAAGTAGAAAATAGGGAAGTTTGACCTCACCTGCTGCAAAACTGGAGGAATTTCTATAAGGTATAGAGTAGCTAAGACGTTCTGAGGGCAGAGCAGAGAGACTCATTTACTCTCTCATCTGAAGTAAGAGTCTCTCCCTGGAGAAGCAGTGAGCGGAGGCCGGCCCCAGGGGATTCCATTACAGGAGGCTGAGTAGGGGCAGATTTCTGTGGGAAGTCCACCGAATGCCACAGACTCCATGGAAGAGACATGGCCAGCTGCTTTCAACCTGCTAAGGGACATGGGCCGCTGCGGAGAGCTGTAGGTGGTGCTGGTGAAGACAGTCTCAGGAAGGAAAACAGCCCTGTATCCCCCACCTTCCTGACACCCCACCATCGCCAGCAGAGTAGTGTGCCTCCTTCTGTGTCTGCCCACTCACCATGGAGATCTGGATTTCTAATCTGACAAAGAAACTTCACAAACACTCTACCTTTTCCCTTTCTTCTTCATCTGAGGCTGAAAGAGCTCAAAAGAAATCAACTGAGTCCTGGACAAGTGTGGAAATAACCCCCCCACACCACCATCGCCCAGGCTGAGAAAATTTGCTGGCCACGACACAGTGTTCTCTAATTTGAAAAAAGAAATTATGTTAAGGCGTCGAAATGTTTCTCCCTGTGAAACAGATTTCCTGAAAGAAACAGGAGAAAATCTTGGACAGTCTCTCATTTGTATTCTCAGCAGGGCTTGACAGGACTTTGCGTGCCCATATCTGCCCCACCACCTGCTCTAGGGTCTCCTTATCTTTTCCTGAACCATAAACACTCCCAGGACCCCATCACCCTCCCTGATAGCACACTATATTAGGACCATACTGGGGACATAGGTGCCTCATCCTCCACACTGGCCCCTAACTGTATCAGCCATCAGCAGCACAGTGTCAGGGAGACCTTCTGCCAACAGATGTCTAAGCCACCTAGTTTCTCATGTTGGTCCCCAGGTTACTCTAAAGTTTTAAAAGGCAGGTCCTCCAAGTTCAAACCACTTATTTATGCCCCACCATCTGCACACCAGCTGCTGAAAGGAGAACATCGTTCTGGCACATCAAAGGCCTCCCCTGCTGTATCTGCTCCTGACAACTGTCCATCTATCTTGAAGGAGAGAATCCTCTTACTAAAACCACTCGCTCACTCCATTTAGACTAGCCCTCTTCATAATAGTTTCCATTCTTGATGCTTTCTCTAGGTCACCCATATCTAGACTGCTAGAGAAATGAATCTTCCAGAAGAAGGTGACCCATCTGGTCAAAAAAGGGCCAGAGAAAAAGTATAGAACCTGGCACTGAGCAAAGACTGTTCTCCAAATGTGAGATTAGTAAGCATGCTGGAGGTATCTGCCACCTGTGCCTTTCAAGGTAGCAGAGTTGTCAACCCTGTGGTCCTCCCACTCCAGTTGCACACCCTGCCCCCCAGCACTACCACAATGCTCCCTAACTTCAACCATCTGCAGTTTCAAGGCTCTGACCTCTTCCCAGGGCCTCAGGAACCCATCTGTAAATCTGAGATGGAGAACCAAAATATCAGTTTGATAAAGTACAGGACTCATGGAGATGCTAGCTTCAGCCTGGACTTCTGGAAAGGATAGGGCTGGAGGAGAAATCATGAGAAACTGCCCCAGCCCTGGAACCTGGCACACCCGGTTTAGGTTTCCACCTGGCAGTGCCAGGGAACCCCAGGAATGCTCGGGGAGGACAGTGGCTTCAGAGTATGGAGCTGACTCAGTACACTTACCAGCTCCCTCCCCTCCCTCAGTCTAGAATCTTCCCTATATCGTCAACATATTTTGTTTTAGCAAATCTAATCCATTTCTTGTAACTGATATATTTTACTGCACTGTATGAAAGTATCACCTTTTATTTAGCCATTTCTCCAGCTGACCGAAGAAAAGCAATATGCACAATATATACAGAGTATAGTAAATACCAAATTGCTAATCACACACACACACACACACAATACTATTTATTTGCTATGGGTGTGTGTGTGTGTGTGTGTATGCACATGCATCCACTTATAAAGTATTTTTCAAAGGATTGGAAAGACAGTGTAATCAAAATGATACTTACCTTCTGGGAGAAGGAGTTGGTTAAGACAGAGAGTGGTGGCAAAGGAGCTTTGAGCTTTATCTGCATTGTTATAGGCTTGAACTCATGACCCCGAGATCAAGAGTCACATGCTCTACCAACTGAGCCAGCCAGGCGCCCCTGAATTGTTAAGGTTTTAAAGAAGAATTAATGCATCTGTTATTGCATAACTTAAAATTAATTTAATATAAGAAAAAGTGCTACTGTGATGTCTCAGACACTTAGAGAGTATATTAAGGTTCTCCACAGAAAACACAGCTAATAGGAATATAGAAACAGAGACAGGGAGAGGCAAGAGAGAGAGAGAGATTTGTTTTAAGAAATTTGCTCATGTGATTATGGGCCTGACAAGTCTGAAATTCATAAAGGAGACAGCCGGCTGGAAACTCAGGCATGATTCCTGTTTCTCAAGGAATTCTTGCTGGGAAACCTCAGCTTTTGCTCGTAAGGCTTTCAACTCATTGGATGAGTCCCACCCATATTATTGAGGGTTATCTGCTGTATTTAAACTCAAGTTGAACGTAGATATTAGTCACATCCACAAAATACCTTCAGAGCAACATTTTCCACTACTGTTTGACCAAGCAAGTGGTCATTATCGCCCAGCCAAGTTGACACATGAAATTTTATCATCTCAGTGGGTATCTTCAGGCTCTTCTTATCTCCACCGAATAAGAGAAGCACTTCAGATTCCAATATTAGACTTGTGCATTCTTACCAGCATTCTGCCCAGACCCTTTGGGCTAACGTGTCTTGGCTTTTCATTTCAGGCTTGCCTCTGGATCGCCTTGGCCCCATTCTCTTCACCCGTGGCCTCGCTCTGCTTTGTCTCTTTGGTCAGCCTGTCTCAGCACCCTGGGCCTCTGCTTATTCTGGGCCATGGATTTTTCAACAGTTGGAAAGCTCCATTTGAAGGAATTGTGGAAGACTTCTTACAAAGGACCTGGCATTTTAAATGAGTAGCATTCCTGCTTTTTTTCCCATTATTTACTATTTATGTATTACTCAGTGAAACTTTAGTATTACTGTATTATAAAATTATGTCAAAAGAAAAAGAGCAGGATAACCCATAACCACACTACCCTAAAATACCCAATCTTGGCATTTTAGTCTACTTCAGTCTTTTTTCTACATGTATTAATTTTGCAGAGTTATAATCATACCCAATATATAATTTTACCATGTTTTTCCACTTACTGTTATAGTATAAGCATGTTTAATGTTGCTATATAATCTTCATGGTTGCCATTGTTAATGACTACATAATAGTTCACAGAACTGAAGTGCTTTATTTACTTAACCATCTTGTTATCTTTAAACAATTTCCAGTTCATTCTTACAATAAATATCCACATCTTTGCTACTGTAGTGTTCTTTTTCACACCTTGAATTCTTTCATAGAGACTTAAAACAATTGCTTGGCCAAAGAATACATTCTTTTGTCTCTTGGCATGTATTCCCAAATAGATTTCTTTTAAGGGTTGCATCAATTTACACCGCCATCAGTGTAAATAAGGACCGCTGTGTCTCTGTTCTCTTGAGAATAGAGCTTTGACAGGTGAGGATTTGCGACCAGGAGGAAGACATTCCAGTAGCGAAGCCTGAGCCTTGTGTTCTGTAAAGTACCCTGGTTCTCACTGGTACACTGGTTTTGTGTTGCTTTGTCTCTCACAGACTGAGCAGTTGATAACTCTGTGGATCCTGTTTGTTTTCACCATTGTTGGAAACTCCATGGTGCTGTTCTCTATGTGGAGGAGGAAGATGAAGTCAAGAATGACCTTCTTTGTGACTCAGCTGGCTATCACAGGTAAGTAACTGTGCGGGTGGGAGAGGATTAGCTGTGCGCAAAATTCCTGTGGCTCCTCGCTTTCGATTATTTTACCAATAGAAATAGCATACTATCCAGTCCAAAAGGCATCAGCAAATTCGAGAGTAATTTCTATAGGGATACAAAACCCATATTTGGAGTTTCTTTCAGCAAGTTTAACACATCTATTTATCCATAAGATTCCATTATAAAAATAACTCACTATAAAGCCCACTGGAAAATACCATTATCAGTGCCACCAAGGGATTCTCTAGAGTTCCACCCTTCCTCTACACAGCAGCCTCTGTAGTTCACTAAGGTGATAGTACAGTATCATACCATATTATGAGCTTAAAAATACATCCCAGCCAACGGACCAGAATTATCTCTATTCAGTAATAAATGTGAAGTCTCAAGTATTTTGCAGATTTAAGTCTGTGGACATTGTTTTTGAAAAATAAGTGATATGTAACACTACTTGTGGGCACGATATAAGGACATAAAATAATATCTGGGATCAGGATGTTTAAATGTGGATTGGGGGAATGTCCAGCACAGTTGAAGTGTGAATGCATCACATTTAGAAGGGGAGTGGTGAAATATTCTCAACTTTAAAAATGATCTGTGAAATAAGAACCCTCACAGAGATGGGTAGAGCCCAAACTGATAGGGGTCATGTTCAAAAGGAAAACATCATCATGGGGCACCTGGCTGGCTCAGTAGGTTGAGCGTCCAACTCTTGATTTTGGCTCAGGTCATGATCTCAGAGTCCTGAGATCAAGCCCGGCATCGGATTCGTGCTCAGCTGGAAGTCTGCTGGAGATTCTCTCTCCCTCTCCTTCTGTTCTCTCTCTCTAATAAATAAATAAAACAAAACAAAAGGAAAACATAATCAAGGAGAGAGTCCTGTTCTATAGATCAAAGAAGAGAGTGGACAGGTGGGATTCCTGGAGGGTCCAGCCTGAGACAGGCTTGGAATCCTGAGCTCTAGGAACAAGATGGCTGTGATATGAGTTTAATTTGAATCAAAATGTAGGGAAAATGCAAAAAAAAATTTTTTTTAAGTATTAAGTGCTAACAAGGAGCAGTGGTGGATGACCTTCAGAATGGGCTGTTTGGTGCATTTCAACCTGTGCTGTACTCTCAGTTGCAGTAACGGCAAAGGGGAGTTCTTGGGAATTTATTCTTGAGCCACAGTATAGGAAAAATATGGCACTTAACTTACAAGAAAAACTTAGCCATTCATTGCTGATAGCCTGAAATTCTCCAATCTCTTGAGCTGGGCTACAGTGACCAGGATGAAACCAAAGGCACTACTGAGAAATACAGAGTTGGTGAGAGAAGCTTGGGTCAGAGGTGGTACCTATGGAAGAAAACTCCTTCAATCTTTCCTGCAAACAGGAGCCCCACTTTTCGCCCCTATGACTGTAGGAATGAAGCAAATGCTGAAAAGCAAAATCCCTGGGTGAGGATGTAATAACTTACTTTCATTATATTTCCTTAACTACTGTGTTGTAACCCACATTCTACAGAGCTGTGTGTTCTTTCAGAGGGCAAGAATTTAGAGGTGGCAAGGATATCAGCTTGGAGTTTAGTGTTGCAAAAAATAATCAACAAGTGAATCACTGAAATTTCACCCTCTATTGTTAAAAAGGTGTGCTCTAGTCTAATCCATAGTCTGCCACATTAACTGGGCTTAATTTCTCAGGAATGTTCAAGTCTGTTTTTTATTTGCTAATTCTTTCTGGAAAAACTCAAGGGGTCAGATCAGGAGCATTTTAAGTGAAGAATTCTTAGAAAGGAAAGCTTGACCAAGTTGAGGAACTAGAAAATGTAAAATAACAGAAGCTAAAAATACAATAGATGGGTGTAGCAGCAAATTAAACATAACTGCAGAGAAAATCAAGTTAGGTCATGAAGATAGGTCAGAAAATAATAATAAGATTGAAGCAGGAAGAAACAAAAGGATGGAAAATACAGACAGAAAATAACACATGGGCCCAGGGGAAAGGATTCCCAAAAAAAGATAAAAGAGTAGTCAGGAATGATATTTAAAGATATAAAGACCAACAGTTTTTCCAAAATCCTGAAAGACATCAAAATACAGACAGATTCATAAAGCACCATAAAAGTTAAGAAAGGAGAGAGAAGAATGCTAAGATTATTAGAACAGGTAGGACAAATAAGCTGGTACATTTAACCTCCAATATATTGATAATTGCATTTAGTGTACGTGGACTAAATACTTCACACAAAATAGCAAGATTGCCAGAGTAGGTTTAAGACATACCTACTTCAGTTTGCTTATAAAAGGTGTATACCTTAAATATAAAGATATAATTTTAAAAGGAAAGTAAAAGGATAGTCAAATAAAAGGGTAAAAAATGATGATACAAGGAAACAAACCAAAAGAGGGCCGATGAAGCTGTGTGTGTGTCAGAAATTCAGATATTCACTGTGCTTCTTAAGGCATGGGTGCCCGCATCTTTGTCTTAGCATTTGCTTTAGGGGAAAAAAACTGAAGACAGGAGGATTCTAGCGCTAATAATGTTCTTTTTGTTGTTGTTGATGGTAATTACGTGGATGTGTTCCCTTGGTGATAATTCACCAAATTATATGCTTATGATTTGTGTACTTTATGTAGTTTATTTCAATAAAAAGGTTTATTTACAAAACACAGCACCTCAATATAGAACAGGAGTTGCCATCTCAAATGCCTTCAGGATCAACTGTGTGAAAGAGCCCAGGGAAGGGACAGGTAAAGATGGACCCCCAGGGCAAGCGGAGAATGCGTACCCCACCTACAGGCATTCAAACTCAACTCTTGTTAAGCACTATGCTGATCAAACAAACCACACGGGCATATAGCTGCTGATATATAAAATCTTAAAATCAAAATTTTAAAAGCTTATGCTACGATAAAATTCTAGCCCACCCCATGTTATGAATCCCACTTGCAGTATTGGAAGGGAGGGACACCTGGGTGTCTCTGCCTTCGGTTCAGGTCATGATCCCAGGGACCTGGGATCAAGCTCCACATCGGGCTCCCTACTCAGCTGGCAGTCCGCTTCTCCCTCTCCCTCTGCCCCTCCCCCATTCATGCGCACACGCACGTGCGCGCGCTCTCTCTCTCTCTCAAATAAATAAATAAAATATTTTTAAAATATGTGAAAGGAATATTAAGCTTTTTGGGTGCGGTTGGGGAGAGTGAGAGCAAGGGTGGGGAGCTTATCATTTATAATGGTTTAAACAAATTGCATGTTTGTCAAAGTTTTAAGATGCATTCTCTTGAAAAAAAAGATGTTATGTTAGGACTTTCTTCTCCAGTTTCCTTTATTATAATTTGAAAATTATAGACCATTATATTGAACTATTTTGAAACCAAAAAAGTTGAAATGTTATATGCCTCAGGAGCAATAATAATACAAATGAAAATATAAAGGAAATTTCTTGATGATATCAAGCCCAACCTACATAACCTGGTCTACATGATTATCAGACGACCACTAAGATTAAGGAGACAAGTCAAAAGCACCCCATCCTCATATCTACTTATCATTAAAATTCTTCCTTCAGAGGAGCATGTATCAGGCTTCTTGATATGAGGAAAAATCACTTGACAAGACACTGGCCCTATCAGGGTATTAAAACAGAGGCTGCTGGCTTACACTCAGCATGATTGAGTTGTTCTCACATAAAGATGCTGCATTATTAGTGTGTCCCAGTGTTGCCAAGACATTTGCATAAATACAGCTATAATTTTATAGGTGTTTTTCTTTTGGCATCGTGTCTTAGTCTGTTCAGTGCGCCATAGCAAAATAGCACAGACTGGGGGGCTTAAACAACACACATTTATATCGTCAGAGCTCTGGAGGCTGGGAGTGTGAGATGGGGTGACAGTAGGGTTGGCTCCTGGTGAGAGCGCTCTTCCTGCCTTGCGGAGGGCTGCCTTCTCACTATGTCCTCACATGGAGAGAAAGAATGCAAGCTCTCTAGTGTCTCCTAATAAAGCTGCTAATCCTGTCAGATCAGGGCCTTACCTTTATGGCCAACCACTTCCATAAAGGCCCTGTCTGCACATAGAGACATATTGGGAGTTTGGGGCTTTAACATGAATTTTGGTGAGACCCAAATATTCAGGTAATAACAGAGGGAAATAGCTAGGTCCCTCAGAGGATTACAAGTGATTCACAACGGGCAGAACATAGCGTGGGGGATTGGAGGTCCTAGATGAAAGAAATGAGGGGTAGCCATAAATAGCTTTGGATGCCTTGCTAAGATGTTCAGCAAATCTTTGAGCATATCCTCTGTCATGCTTGCTTGGTTTGAGCCACCACTGCCCTTTATGTGGATTACTGCAAAACTCCCAACATACAAGAATGAGAAAAGAGATACTTAAATTAACCCATGGCCAGGTTTTGCTGGCAATATGGGAACACAGTAAAGCAAGGAAGTTAAACTTCTTGTCAAGGGGATGACACAAATGTTGGACACAGAGACCATGACTAAAGAAAGAAAGGAAAGCAGGCAGGTCAGAAAAATCGAGAGAGAGTGGAGAGTTAAGGAATGATAGGTCGCCACAGAGTTAGGTAAGGTGGGCTTAGTGATAGCCGCTGAATAAAAGAGCTGGAAAGAAGTGAGGGTGTGTTCAAGAGCCAAGATATTCTCAGGTGAATGTTGCAGAGATAGTATAACTCAGTGTGTCCCTTGTACTGGGGAGTAGAGTATTGTCACCTGGAAAGTTGTTAGTAAACAGGGCCACCATAATGGAAATTAATTCTATTAAATTCTTACCGTGTACCAGGCTCTGTGCCAAATGCTTTGGGTAGATTATTTGATTTAATCCTCACAATAGTCCCATGACCTAACTCTGCCATAATCCCCTTTTATGGGCATAAAAATTAAGATTCAAAGAGATTCAGACCTTGCCCTAGGTCATGCAGTAAGGGGTAGACCAGATATTCAAACTCAGGCAGTCTTTCTTCCAATTGTGAGTTTTT